GTCAGACTGAGGCTGATAACTACAGCTCGGTGAGGTAAAGGACTCTGAGTGTTTAGATCAGTGGTTCTCAAAGTGGGGGGCGCGCCCCCCCTGGGGGGCGCAGAGGCATGCCAGGGGGGGCGCGAGAGACCAGGAGGAAAAATGGTTCTAAAAATAAAAAAGATTAAAAAAAAAAAATCAGAATTTTTAAAATTATTGATTCGAAAATAATATGATGCAGTACTATTACGTCTGGGTCTCTGTGTTTCATTAAAGCTTGGCTCTGTGTGTGTGTGTGTGTGTGTGTGTGTGTGTGTGTGTGTGTGTGTGTGTGTGTGTGTGTGTGTGTGTGTGTGTGTGTGTGTGTGTGTGTGTGTGTGTGTGTGTGTGTGTGTGTGTGTGTGTGTGTGTGTGTGTGTGTGTGTGTGTGTGTGTGTGTGTGTGTGTGTGTGTGTGTGTGTAACGAGCCATTTTGTGTGCGCACAAGAGAGAGAGAGTGCACCGGTACTGGAGATCGTTGTTGTTAGCTTCTGGTGCTAGCGAGCTACGCTAACAGATATAATGAGTTTTTTCAACAACAAAGTGGAGGAGAGTCCTCTCCTGTCAGACTGAGAGGCTCAGTGAACTAAAGGACTCTGCAGTGTTATCTCAGTGGGTCTCAAATGTTTTGGTCACCATTAATGTAAACAATTATTTCCGAGGCACACGTTTATATGATCATTATAGTTATACAAAAATAAGAGAATAAATGAAAAACAGGTATGGAATACTATATGACAGTAAAAAAATAATAAAGTTTAAAAGGGTGATTTGTAAAATATCCATAAAGAAAAAGTAAATCTGTTTCATATGGGTGTTGAGAGAGGTATCCATAGATCTCTTCATTTTGCTCTCAAAGTGCACCAGATTGATGCATTTAACTTCAATATTTAATATTTATGTGAGGTCCACACACCACCTGTAAAAATAGCACTTGACCCCTGCTTACACCTATATGCCGTGAGCTGATTATCGAGCCTTCATTGTAACAGTCGCACTGTGTATGTGCGTGGGGATTGTTGCAGTAGAACGTTCCACTGTAGCGACCGGTACATTAATGGGAAACCCTAAATGTTTGAGCACCCTCTATGAAACGTCAAGCTACCCCACAGCACCTTCAAAATAAATCTCTGGCGCCGCCACTGAGCCTGACTATCTGTGTTGGGGGGGCCCGACTTTTTTTTTTCTCCAAAGGGGGGGCCTGACAGAAAAAGTTTGAGAACCACTGGTTTAGATAGTTCACTTTAGTCTAAGTTATCTCAGTGGGTCTCAAACGGTTTGATCACAATTTATGTAAACACATATTTCCAAGGCACTCCTTTATAATTATTGGGATAAAACAGGTTTGAACTCATTCCAATGTATACTATAGGACAGTAAACCAGACATATCGTTTTAAACTGGAGAGATAAAAAAATATGCATTAATAAAATAGTAAAATAAGATATGAATGAACAACAAAAATAAAATACGTTACATGTATTTATTATTGGCTATGGTAGGTTATTGGTTATGTTCACATACTTATTTAATTATTAAAATGTAAACCGATCTTTTTCATATGGGTGTTTAGAGTTGTACCCCTTAGATCTAGTCTCTAGTAATTCTGCTTAAAGTGCACCAGATTGAAGCATTTTACTTTAAAATGTTCAAACACAGTGGCGAGCCGTGACTTTTATACCTAGGCCCTCTGACCCCCCCTCCCTCGAAAAAAAAGAAGAGATATTACGTCACAGCGTATACTTCAGCGGAATATCAAAACAGCGGCCCGGGGTGCAAAACGCATCAATGACAGTGACCCAATACCACACAAAACAACAGAATTTATATAAACACCTATCATGACAGGGCACCCACAGCCAAGTAACAATTACAAATGAATTAAGTCGGCACGGCGGCCCACATTGAAAATGACTTAGGCCTACCTTTGATGATCAAATCACTTAAACACAAAGTCCATCCTCCTGTCCTTTTGAATGAAGCACTTGCGGGTCATTCAGCTGATCCTTTGCCACTCCAGTTTATCATTGTAACTCAATCTTGAAAATGACTCTGTTAATAATTTCGCAACGATGTCATCACTATCACTGAAGTGAGCCATCATGAACTAATGCTAATTATAAATCTATCGATCATAAATCTATCGATTAGATTTATGATTCAAAAATAATAAAAGTAGGGTAGACATGTGGATATTATCCGGCTGAACAAAACGTGCATTTATCTAACAGGTTCGTTTTCCACAGACCTTATTTCAAGCTATTTTCCAAAATCCTATGGAGAAACCCCACTGCTTTCTGTAGAGGGAATCCGAGCGAAGCTTACTTCCGGGTTTTAGGACGCGTCACTGCACCACTTGCATAGACCTCACAGCGGGCGGAACTTGTCATAAAGTCCGCGAAAATAAAGCCCGCCCATTTAGAGGAAAGATATGATTTCACACCAGCGCTTTTCCCTTTCTAGCTCCGAGCTAGAGCTGTTCTGGTTCAGCTCCGGTTTCCCTTTTCTGCTCCCGCTCTGTTCACACCGCCCAGCACCCGACTGGTGCTGCCGCTGCTGCGTCATGACGTCACCGTTTACATCGCTGATTTGCTCCCCAACGGCATTACGGCGCTCACAACAACGGGGAACTGCGTCGGGTCGATGATCGTGTTGCTTTTAATCACACGAAGCCAGAATAAATTGAATAGCGACTTCTCCAACCTTATACTTTGCTCCAGAGTGCCGTGGTTCATTGTTTATTAATGTGTTTCTGCAGCATTTACCGACCGCTGCAGTGTTGGCTGCTCTTCCACGGGAGTTTATTCTCCTCCGTTAGCTCACGGTTAGCTCACACTGCAACGGCCGCTCTAAAGTATTCACTGTCCGACTCACACAAGCAGCTGATACATATCCCCAGTTACCCTTAGCCTAAGTGAATGTGTGTCAGTCTGAATTGACGCTGTTTGGTATCACAACGCTGTTATGAAAGTTTCTCTGGTATAAAATTAGTGATGTTAGCATAGAAACCGAAGCTAAACTGACTACTTGCTATACTTGTGGCATAAACCGTTTTCTACAGGCACATTTTACCGGCGTATTTTTATTATGATTCTACTTGTGATAGTCGGACACGACAACCTGTGCAGCCCATGTATTGATTCCATCCAATAGCTGCTATAATACAAAACAAAACGTCTGCCTCTCTCCACAATGATCATAACAGTGAACGGATGGTCAAAGTAAGGTACAAATAAACAGAATCACACGAAGCCTGGTTAGTGTTGCCTGACTTTATAAAGTGTGTTTATAAGCACTACTGCTTGTAGGCAGGCATGACAGTCGACCCATGTTCAGGGGAGGTGGGTTTAGTTTCCTGCACGCCTCGACGTAAGAGAGACGTAAGCGACGCCACCTCTTAGCTCCGAAGCTTTTGCCTCTAGACCGACCATTTTTTGGAGCTGGAAGTGAACCGGATTCCGGAGCTAAGAGCCGGCGCCGCTGCGGTGTGAACAGGAAAAACCGGCGCTTTTCAGGCTCCAGCTCCGAGTAGGAGCTGGAAAAGCGCTGGTGTGAAAGGGGCAATTGAGTTACTATAGTGGGCCCTCTGTGAATGTAGAGAGGGACCAACAAGCTCTCCATTCTTCACAGTAACTCGCAGAGACGGCATTTAACCCTTCACATTTTAACAGAAACTGAACAGGCAGATTCGAAGGATTTATTTATTTTGAAATGTTATTTTAAATACAATTAAATCAAGTTATTTTGGTAAAACTAATGAAAAATGTAACAAAAAAAAAAAATATAAAAAAAAATATTTAAATTTTTTTTTTTTAATGTTTTCAAATATTATTTTTTTGAATATCTTAGGCGCTCAAAGATGGCCTAGAGGGCCCTGACGGCTCGCCACTGCTAAAACATAGCTATTAAGAAAGCTATTTCATAAATGGCTAGATCTTGATAAATAACAATTATTTGTATTGTTTTGTGTTAAGATATACAGTTCAATTATTTAAAATTCACAGTCCCGAATGTGGGTTTGTGGTGAATGTGGGGATCTACAGGACACACATTTTCAGAGTAAAGGCTTTCACATTACTATAATTATATTTTTTATTTAAATGTAGGCTACATTTTACACCAAAACGGAACACAATAGCAGGACCAACCATCATACATTGAATTCCTTGACTAACAAGAGAAAGATTCATTCATTTAAATAAATATTTAATAACAAATGGGCCGGTTCAAAGGGGTTATTCAGTTGAGCCCGATGAGAGGGGATACAGCTGTGCACATGTCATCATTAACAGACGTCGTTTAAAGTGACGTTTGAGTGAACGAGGACATCCCAATTAATACCTGAGGACTCCTCTGTCCTCGCGTCTCCTCCTCGTGTCTCTCGCTCGCATCTTACGGAGGCGGAGCTAAGACGCAAGGAAGGGACGCGAGTGAGGGAAAGGAGGAGTCGAGGAGGGGTATTGAGATGAGGCTATGGTGAATACAAAATAAAACAGGAAATGGAACATAAACTAAACTAACATGAACATGACAATCACAAACATGACAAAACTTAACATATTTGACGGGACACTACAAAATGTTTCCAACAATTTCCTATTTACAGGTGTAGCAGACAGACAGCAACATCAACATTAATTTGAAGGCATGTTTCCAGTGATTCGTCAAATGTGAGTCCAGCATTTACTCTCTTTTCAGCACAGTTTAATTATTGCTATTAGGTAGGTAGCTGTCTTTCTGTCAGACTGGTACTGTAGCGTAAAAGGAGTAAATTACAACATCATTTGGAGATAATAGTACATCTTACCAAAAAATAGAAAGTCAACGTCATAAAGTTATTAAAAGATTATATAAAAGGCCCCTTTTTGTAATGTCTGCCATTTAATTACTCATCTGTAAAACCAGCTACAGCATCCACAAAGCATGATCCTACCCTCCATTAGCATAAATATATTGCAATGTTATATATCGAGAGTAAAAAATCAGAAAAAATAGATTTGCTCGAAGCCACTTTTGGGCCCAGTGAAAACAGGATTGTAGTTGTGTATCAATGCTTTGCTCTCTTCGTCCTCAGATTCAAATTTGTGAAAGTTCTTCCTGGCTATAAGGAGAGAAAACAAGATTAACATAATGCAGCTACTGACTATGTCATTAAGGAACCAGAAAGATAATATGCTCATACCTTCACTGACAAAGAATTGTGCCAGGTAGAAGGTGGTCTTGATTGCTGATGGAGTGTGGAATATAAGGCCTTGTCCATTCAAATTCATTTTTCTCTGGATGCCACTGTGTCCCATAAATTGGGTAATCGTATGCTGCAAAGTTGAAAGGGAAGAAAAAGTACTTAAATAACTGGGGTTATTTGCTGTAAATCATTCAAGTGAATCTGCATTGTAACTACCTTCTACAGTTGATACAAACTCCACTTTTCCATCCGTATTTGTGGATAGAACTTTGTAAAACATGTTCAGCTCCTCATTTGAGTTATGAGTCTGGAAAAAAAACAAGGTTACTTACAATGCACTCAAGTAAACAAAAGCCAGCATTTTATTTCCGTGCTTTCTATGTTATGAGAATAAATGGGGGGAAACCATACCAACACTGCCAAACTCCACTTGTGAGAGTTTTCTGTCAGAGCCTCAGTGGCCAGATCTTTAATGAGTTCAGCTGGGAAGTCTTTAAACATCCTACTGTCTTTGATTTCTGAAAATGGATCATAATATTATGATTATTACTAATACAAAACACACTTCATAAGATATTTAAAGCGTTAATGTAAAGAAGCTCCATTGTTTTCCTGTAAACAATGATACCTCTGCTACAACTTTAGCATGAAAATGTGTTAACATACTGTAATTGATAGTAAATAGCAATAGCAAATATATGTTAATATTATATTGCTAAACCACAAAATAACTTAATATTAACACTACACAAAGCAAACAATTATCTTTAACCACTTCAGAACATTGCCAATCTAACTGTTATGTTCTGATAACTCATTAACTCTGGAGTCTAAGGGTATTTTCTCGATTTTTAGATGTTTTCTTAAATCACCTTTTAAATGTATTTCTTCTAACATGGCACCCATGTGTTACATATCAAAATGTTCAGGACAATCTCTAGTATTGTCTCTATATATGCAAATTACTCACCTTAGAGCACTGTTTGATGAGATAAGTAGCTCAAAAGCTTAAAATGTGCCATCCGATTTTCGGAAAATCTTCAAAACTCTTGTGAAAACACAAATTTACTCATGTGATCGAATTGTTTTGGTGTTTTAGATTTGGTTACCAAAGTCTTAGGATTACAAAAGTAGTGAAATATTTGAATTACACTGTATATAAATGTGTTATTCATGTCTAAAATGAAATTTTATAAATTCGAATTCTGAGTAAAACAGCTGTCAATCACTCTACTTTCACCACAGCAGGGACTGAGATATATCAGGACTGAATAATGACTTCATATTACATAACAAGGTTCATGTGATGTGTAAAAAAAAAAGAATTGAGCATTAGAACTTTTTTTTTCAACCAACAATTTATTATAATACCAATAATGTATATAAATATAACTGCAAAATCTCACTATTTACAATATTGAACATCAGAACTTTTTTTCCTTCAACCAACTATTCATTATACACTGACAAAATGATCCTTCCTCCAGTAGTCCAATACATTGTCCAGTTTCAGCAGCCCCATGTATTTATAGAAATCCTCTACAGTCAAGTCAGTCCATTTGTAGGTTTTACCCTTTCCCATCTCCTGTGCAGCCCGCTTGTTTGTGTTGGGGTTTGTTTGTTTGATACTGTTGAGCTGAGCTGTGGCCCGGGTGTGCGAGCAGGTTGAAACCTGGAGACAGGGGGAGCAGTGTCAGGGTCTTCGCCTGTCTTCCAAGACAGTGGAGCTGGCTGCTGTGCAGGTGGGGGTGATGGTGCATGGGCAGCTGGTGGCTGTGTGGGAGGTAGTGTGCTCTACATGACCTCTTTGCTGTCCGGGTTGATGATGGCTGTGGCTGTGGTGGAGCTGAGGTGTATCTTGACCTCGTCGCAGGCAGAGATGGAGGCAGCTGTCGTGATGCTGGTCCGCTAGTCCTTGATGGTGAAGGCCCTTGATCCACGGTAGATCTCAACATGGTGGCAGGCACAGCTGGAGGCTCCTGGATAAATGTCATCTGTGGGCCGCTAGGCCCAAGCAGCTGTGAAACCTCTCTGTAAAACAAATACAAATTGTGGGACAATAATTATTACGAAGTTCCCCACACACACACACACACACACACACACACACACACACTCCCCATTACTACATAGCACTCCCCACAAATGGCAGGCACACATATAAATAAATTAAATGTCTCCGTTGTGGGACAAATAAAGGATTATCTCATGCATCTACACATGTAACCTTACTTATACACACCAAAATAACGTTTACACATAAATAACATTTACACATAGTAAACGTTTACTAATCAAGAGTCTATTTTGTCCCGAGAAAAAGTTCATGAGGGGAAAATAAAAAGGTTGATAAATCCATTGTTCATTTTCGCGGTACTCCTCACAAAATGGCAAATGACTCTGAAAGAGTCAGTGCCTCACCAGCCATGAACCTCACCGCACGTCACTGGTGCTAACGGTGGTCCTATGATAGCAACTCTAAAACATGTCTATCTCAACTCTGAAGCGTAAACAAAGACAAAACAGTCATTTATCTTGTGGAGCAGATGCGCGCATTCCAAGTCAAGCTGGACCTTTTCGCGACCGATTTGAGTACGGGTCGGATGCTGCATTTTCCGACGCTCCGCAAAGACATCACATCCCCAACACAAATTACGGATGTGATGACAGATTTCATTGCGAGGTTGAAAGAGAACTTTGCCGGTTTGGACTTGCTCTGCCCACAGAGGTGATGGGCTTTGCCTTTGCCAGAGACCCCTTCACTGTTGCAATAGAGGGGGGCGTATCAACCAGAGCAAAGGAAGTGGTCCCCTCCACCGACGAGGGGAAATGTACACTGGAATTTATTGACATGCAGTCATCCGTAACCAGGGTTCGAGTTATAAACTGAGCTCTATGGGGGTCTTTAAAACTAATGCATGCCTGCGCCTGCACGCGCGCACGTGCAGGCGCGCACTCACACAGGCATAGATTGCGCAATAATGTATTGCGCACCTTGGAGGCAGTGGCGTTTACTCCCGGAGGCCAAGGGAAGCCAGGCTTCCCCTGTTTTTTCGGATTGTAGTTATTGTAGAGGAAACTTCTGTGTAGCTATGCAGTGGGAGTCACCGACTCAGGAAGGAGACACGGTAGGAGCAGTAGCTTTGATGTAAAACACATGATGGTTTATTTGGAGTTACGGCCGGAGGATTCACATCACAAGTCCAAGAGTCAGAGGTTCTGACTTCACGGTAGAGTTGCCACGTCAATTCTGGAGAGCCTCTCTCTTGCCAGCCCATCTAACTGGTTTCGCAGAGAGTAAACAACATATTTGAGAAGATAGCCTAAACAGTGTGGGAACACTGAGCTACTTGCGTCGGACACTTATGACCTCGAAGATTTCACCTTGGAGTCCACAAATACAGAGAAGGAAGTGTCCCAGTGTACCCACAACACAGACCATCTGTGACCCAGTATTGACCGGTCACAGAATGGGAACAATAACATTATTGGCTAAGCAGCCTGTGTCCTTAAAGAAGGTAAACAGACATCAAGGTTTGTCCTGTATGTCACATCTTGGCGTCTATGATAATTATTTCCATAACAGTCCTCTCTTTTTATCATTTATGATAACCTAAAAACATTAGTCAATAATTAACTCAATAGGCGTCTCCAGATTCGAGTGTGGTCTCACCTTCCATCAATTATATCACAAAGTGGAATAAGATTGAAACATTCAATCACAATGATTGATACAGCCAATCATAATAGGAAAAATCATCTCTCATCAGTGGTTTGATCATTTTTTGTCAAAAGCATAATAATGAACACACATAAAACACAGGTGCACAATGGCTAAATATTTAGCCATTTAGCCAGACTGTAGATTAGCACGGAGGTGCTGATTGGCTCAAACTCTTCCTCAGAGCGCCATATTTAAACCCCCCAATTGCTCTGCTTTTGTGTGGCTCATTCAGTGAGCACTGTAGTTGATCCCCCAGTGAAACGGAGGCTCATCCGCCTGCATTCCTTCTGCTATCTGCTTGAGAGCAGTGCCAGACAAAACTGCGTATTCCAAGTGGCGCATCCAGGTCTCCCCCCGTGATGGGAGAGGTTAGGAAGACATCTGATCCTCCAAGAAACAAGGAACCTGGTATGAAGCCTCTGAAGTCCTCGCTCGTCCCGCAGGGTTGTCTGCCTGAGCCCACCGCGCAGAAAGGTGAAGAAGCATCCCATCTCCTCAGATAGTTGAAGATTAGAATCCTCTCATCTCGAACGACCTCGTGCCTCCTTGCCCGTAGATGGGGTGTCCTCTGCAGCCGGAGAGTGTGACCCTCTCTCTCTGACCCTTGGCCTTCAGAGCTGTCCTAGTTATTGGGTTAACACTTGATAGGGATGTTTTCCTGAGTGCAGACAACTCAAAGTAATGGATTAGCACATTATCATTTAAATACAAAAATAGGATAGGCCCCTCAGAATTATTTGGGAGCCTTCCTAACACATGCACATGCATAAATGTAAGGTTTGTGTTAGTCATTTAATATGCAAGAATCATATACTCATCAGTCCAAAGCAGAGAAATGTTATTGTAATTTAAAGGTGAGCTAGTCCCTGCGGATATCACCCCTTCTCAATGATTCTAAATGTTATATTAATTCACCATTTACCGTTTGATAAAAGATTAGTTTATCAGAAATATTTTCCTCTTCCATAAAACATAGGTTTGAGAAATAAATGTTCCAATATAAAATCAATTACTCAATATAATTGACTCTTCCCTCCCTTTTCTTACATATGTCTCATATGAAATAATAACTTAGGAGTCTATTTAAGCATGGTGTAGTTTATAATCTATTAATCGAGAAGAGTCAGTATCACCTGTGTGCAGCTTACAAAAAAACAATTGTGAGAAACATATATTATGCAGGAACTGTATACCTTTGTTGAAAAACAATGCATATCTGATTTGGGAGGAAAAGCTTCATCCCCCTTAACATCTGAGTTATTACTGAAAGCATAGCATAAATTATAGTGGGTGTCTGAGGGTGTTATTACTGACAAATGTCAAACACATTCAAAACCTTACATTTGAAAACAGGTTTGCATTCCTTCTCTTAAAATGACGTTATCATTGGAAACAATAAAAGCTAATTGTTTTGATGTAGAATCTATCAATTTAATCATTAGAGCAGAACAGAATGGTCGTATTGTAGCCTGAGTACCGTGCAGCCTTCAGTTTCACCAGGTGGAAACATTGTCCATATAATGTGAATACATGTGGAACTAGACATTAAGAGGCCCCTGACATTAGGCCTATTTTAAAAATAGTAGGGGCTTTTAACAGCTTGCTAACCTACAGGCATCCTCTGCATAGCAGTATGAATAGCCTTAAAAAAACAACCCACTCTGCGGTAACGAGAGTCATATTTCTGAACCAAATGCCCTAAGTTAAGCCGTTAGTCCCATCTGACTGACCCAAGGGTTGGTGCTGGTGTGACCGGGAGGCTTCCAGGTGTTCAAAGCAGATGTCAAGCTTTCAGTTCATGGCTTGGTGGGGGGAGTGGCCCACGTGAGACAGTATTGTTCAGTTTGAGGAGCGGCATTGTCTCTGGAAGCAGGGAATGGTGTCCATTCTCGGACCAGACCATTAATGTCATTTCATGTAGAGCAGCCATAGCATCTCTGTGACTGCACTCAGCCGGACTGTCAGAACTGGGTGATTCTTAGTGAAATCGTCCAAGGTCATAGACAGAATGGAACCACGTACCAACAAAAGGGACACAAGGTCATCAATGTCTCTCTTTACCATTGGCCTAATCATAAACAAATTAGTGGGAAAAATGTGGATCACTAATCCATCATGTGAAATGTTGAGTTCATCTAAATAATTCCTTATGGGTTGAAATCAAATTAACATTAGAACTAAAGTCAGTCAAAATTGGACTTTGCACGGGTCAGAATCTAATCAATACACCATTTTCCCAGCTCTGTAATGAAAAGGATAACAAGATTAGGTACATTACAGGAGTGTTAAAATACCCAAACATGCACACTTATCTTATTCTAGTAGAGATTAGAGGACAAGGTATAATGTTGTGAACAAAATGATCAATTCAAAGTTATTTTGTTTATTGTTATGTACCTAATTTAATTTAATAATTAATCTTGAATTACTAATAACTTTAAAGAAGGCAACAATTTACAATTTGGATGAAGTGATTACTCATCCAAAGTGTGTGTGTGTGTGTGCTTGTCTGCCCAAGGTTTAAAACATTTGGGACAGCACAGCAGTGAGAATGTTATGAGAACCAATCTGTTGTTTATACTAAACTCGAAGGAAGCTAGACTGGAACATTTTTAATAAATCAAAACACTTGCACATTAATTAAATACATTTCACATTTAGCTCGAGCTGGGTTCAATACTTTTCTTTATGGTATTTAAAATTGGGCTCGAGTAGAACCCCTGGATTTGGCTTGCAACACAAAGTGATACTGATCTCTGTAGGACTTGGAAGTGTTATGATTCAAAGTGTGGGCCTGTGAAAGAGAGGCCCTTGGAAAACAACATCTATTTTTTAACTGTGATTACTTATTTTAAAGAAATTGCAACATTATACTTTTAAAGAATTGCTCAATTAATTTAACACATTTATTATGCACACAATAAAAACGTCAACAAATATATTGATCC